CCGTTTTCCGACATCCGATGTCCAGAAAACCTTCTACTGACATAGTCGTATAAAAAAATATATTAGAATAGAAGGTTTTTCAGAAATCGGACGTCGGAAAATGGATGCATGAGACTCCGGCTTAAAACGAGCTATAGTTGACAAAATTTGGCCAAAAAAACTTTTTTTGGGCGTGGCACCGTTTTTTTTCTTTGGCATTTAGTGCTTTCTCCACTCACCTGTCCCAAAATTTCAGATGTGTACAGCATTCCTACAAAAAAAATATGGTCACCCTACTTCAGTGTAGAACAAATCTGAAGCTCCCCACCACGCTAAATCACCAGTTGTGATTTCTTCAATGTGATTTCTACTAGGCAAGATGACGTTTCTCGCCTTGACGTAGGCTGTTTGCACCACAGGTTATGATTCCGCCTCTTAACTACAACCGCTGGCGCAAACAGCTGACGTCGCTGATGACTTAGTTAATGACGTCGGCAATGGTGATAAACCAATATGGCGCCGATTACCAAAAACGAGGCCGATAAGCAATCAGTAGTGTGTATTATCCTTGGTGGTTACTGACATCTGTTATTTATTTTGAAAGCTAAGTTCAAAGTTTTTTTTTCCCGCTTAAATTGGTTAAACGTTGAAACTATTTCGCGTTGAACTAATGACGTCATAACAAAACTGTTTGAAAATATTTTGAGACAAGATTTCGCATCGGTTCAAAAACAAATGCATGCGCAATAGTTTAAGAAAATAAACTGTTTTTTATGTTTGTTCGTGTGTTGTGGATTGTGCAGGAGGTTATGGTATCATGAACACTCTTACATTTTTGGAAAATAAAAAATTGATCATTCGAAAATATCAGTAGGTAATTGATTAATTACCATAAAAAAAAAAATTAAAAAAATTCTAGGTTACGTATGGTTAAATTCTTCTGGTTTGAAAACCTCATTTTTTCTTGAATGAAAGTAATGACGTCATTTTTAAACAGATTTTCAAAACATTCCGAACTGCTGCGGTCAGGAAAAGAGAGCCAAATGAGCCACATAATGGCGGTTACTTCCATTATCATCACTGTTTCTGTAAAACCCAAGAGATGGGGCTATTAATGACGTCAGTTACGTCATTTTTAAGCATGTGCACAATCTCGAACGAATATGCACAATTTTCCATTGGTTAAATGCACAATTGAAAATTTTCTTGGAACAAGCCTGTTCAAGTGAATATGGATTGTTCAAAAAATAGTAAAAAAGCAAATCCTCTGTCCCTGACTATGAACAACAGACAACACAAATCAAATCACAACAAGATACAAGTTAGGCTACGGTTATGAAATAACGAATGCAAACAAGCAAATTTTACGTTAAACTGTTTTCCGATAACTCTAATTTGAAAGTATGATACCGCTTTACTTTAAAAAAATAACTCCTGACGTTATTACCGTCCATACGCGCTATCTGATTCACCGATATCTCTCTAATAATTCCCATTTGTTTTAGGCTAAAGCAAGTTAACGCCCTCAACCCCTAACCGTGGGCTAGTGGAGAAGATGCGTTCTTCATCCTTTAATTGAGATAAACAGATGATGATGACCAAAACAGGGTTATGTGTTTTAAAGTAATGAAAGCGAAAGTGGAATTTGAATAGGTTAAGTTTGTAAATAAAAAATATGATGTAATAGAGAGTTATTGGACGTGCAATAAGGACAAGCAGTATTTAAATTAGCCTTATTTTGACATCTACGCATGCGCATTTGGGTCCGAAAATAAGGATTCCCTTAATAAGGTTACTGCTTGTCTTTATTTGTGTATGGTTAGTGCGAGGCAGTAAACTTCCCTTATTCCAAATTTCTGACATTTTGGACGACTTTGACGTTTTGCTTTTCGACGATGACGTAATTTTACTTAGAAAATCAATTTTGTACAATAGTTTTCCATTTTACTGTGGGTAACATCAAAAAATGAGTATTAGTAGAAAATCACAAACAAAAATAAACACTTTTTGACGCTGAAATTTATAAACATAGCTATCATCTGTCAAAATTATGAATACAATATAAGGTAATACTCTAGCACCTACTACAGTCTTCCAATAACTGTTTTTTTCTTGGAAAAATAGTGCTGATGCACTAATAAAATAACGTAGATCCTTAATACTGCGAGGCAGTATTTAATAGTTCCAATAACTCTCTAATATGTTGTATGATTGAAATTAAATAAAAATATTCAACCGATGGGAAATCCCATCCTTAATTATTGTTTCAAGTAAAAATATTATATAACTAGATAGGTAAATATCATCTTTGATATAAACCTTTCACAAAAAAAATGAAGGGTAGCATTTAAAGAAAACTCAAATGCTACATCATCCTCCTCCAAAGAAAAAAAATATATATTTATATATTTTTTTATTAGAACCCTTTTAATTCTAAATGAATTAATTCTTAGTATCCTCATTTTTTTTTTTCAATCGATTGACCGTTTAGCTTGGTATCTCCGCGTACCACACGGCGTATAGCGTCAAATTCGAAAAGTCACTAGTTTAGAGTTACAAAGTCGGGAATGTCTCTAAACGGTCTGTTTATTGTTTCCTAACCTAATCATACACTACCTACAGCTATGCTAACTAAAATTAAACAGAAGAATGAATAGAGCGCGCTCTTACCTTAATTTTTCCAATAAAGTAAAAAAAGGAAAAACAATCAAATCTGCTAGCCTAGACCTATATATGATTATTTTTCTTAACTCAATTCAAGTTAATTCAGGTACCTGACAACAAAACTTAAGATAGATATTTTAACAACAAATATCCTATCCAACTGAAATACTGGAATTGGACCCAAAATATGGCTTTAAATCCTTAACATGCCATTCACCCGCAAATTTACCATCAATAGTTTCTAAAACATATACTAAACGAGACTTTCTGCTAACTACCCTACACAATATGATTCTTAGGTGCTAATTTCGCTGAAAAACCAACAGCTGCCTCGGACAGCACTTTATTCCGACGCCAAACCTGGTCACCTACAGAAAATTTGACATCCCTTCTGCGTAAATCATATGAGTTTTTATATCGCTTATGAGCAGCCGTAAGTTTTCTCTGAACCTCCTCAAAAATCTTGCCAATTTCGGAAAGATCTATATATTTATGCCTATCGCCAGGATCCAATTCTATATTTTTAGTTTCACCAATCTGACCATAATAGTCGCCGGATATAGGAATGTACCTCCCAAAAACTAGAAGAGAAGGAGTTAAATTATGGACCTCGTGCTTTGCTGTATTAACCGCAAACTGAATCTTAGGTAATTCAGCGTCCCAGTCTTTGTGTTCTTTAATATAACATCTAATGGCGGTACCAACCGTTGTATTTGTCCGCTCTACGAAGTTACACTGTGCGGAATAACGTGGCGTAAACCATATTTTAATTTTGTATTGGTCAGTTAGATGTTTGAAAGTTTTACCAGCGAACTGTGTCCCATTATCACAAATTATTATTTGAGGAACACCATAAACCAAAAATATCGAATTTTCCAAGCATTTAACAATATAAGAAGCATTGGCTTTCTTAATAGGAAACAAAACACTGAACTTTGAAAACCAGCAGGTTGCAACTAACAAGTAAGAATTTCCTTTTTTAGACCTAGGGAGTGGTCCCATAGTCCCATAAGATCGACAGCTAAAATTTGAAAAGGAAATTGTACACGTTTCTGAATACCCATCTTACCAAAAGGAGTCGAATTAGACATTTTCTGAGACTGACAAACTTTACATGACCTGACGTATTTCATAACGTCATAACGCATTTTAGGCCAGTAATAGGTTTCTTGAACACGAGAAAGTGTTTTATAAAAACCGAAATGGGAACTGGTAGGGGGATCATGACTATCCATCAGTACTGAAGAACGAGAGCTTTTTGGAACAACTGTCTTCCACTCACAAAGATTGCTAGATAAAGGAATATTATTGAGAATATATTTAAAGAGAACGCTATTTTCCACTTTCCACTGGGGGTAAGAAGATGGGTCCTTGAGTACCTTATCCTTAAGATTCGAGTACCAAGGATCCAATTCATTATTGAAATAGGGAGTCAACATTATAAACTTCAGCAGAGTTATTAATTCGAGAAAGTGCATCAGGAACCTTATGAGATGCACCCTTTCTGTGAATTAACTGAAAGGAATGTTGCCTGAGTTTGACTGACCACCTTGCTAAACGTCCTGATGGATCTTTGAGATTATTCAGCCACAGAAGTGTAGGATTAATTATTTAATACAAAAATATGTCATTCGAAAACTCCTCAATATTTCCATAATAAATTATTATAATGCATCTCTTTTAAAAGTTGACCTTGATTCTAAAAATAGACTAGGCGCAGGTATAGGCTAGGAGGGTAGTGGAGATGAGAGGGGGGTAGCTGGCAAGTGGCAACAATAAGTGGAAGTCAGAAGTCAGGGGGCAGTCGGCAACAACCATTATAAGACGTAAGACGTGTTGCTTGGCCAGTCGTGACGGGACGTGTCGCGTGGTCTATAATTATTAAAGACGTGATAATTATATTAATTAAAAGACGAGAAGACGTATAAACATTTTGATGACGATTCTAAGACGAAGTTGGTGATTTTACGAGTTCATTGTGTACCTAGTTGCTAGTTGAAGGCTGTACTGTGGTGGTGCTCCGCTGTTAAATGTGCCTAGTCATTAACCTAAATCCATTCAATCGGTCGGTCAGTGCAATTAAAGTGCGCCAAATATTATTAATATTTAATAATGTGTTTTTATTGTTGAAACCAACCCCCACCCCTAGACAACAAACAAGAAAAGGCCTACAATTTGGGGGCTCGTCCGGGATCTTGGCGGTATTTTGCTGGTATTGGTGGCATCGCGGCATTCCTATTGGCCGGATAATGTTGACATTGATGTGCGATTGTGATGGTTGACGTTGACGTTGATCGGCGAAGTGCGGGGCAAAGACATCGTGAAGGCCGTATCGATGCAATATCGATACAGTGTTTTTACATCGGTATCGATAAGTGCAACTCTAACCAAAGTTGGTAGTAAGCATCAAAGCTACTAGAGGGAGCTACTGGAAAGGCGTTGGCGGTTTTTTTTTGCTAGAAGAAAAATTTTTGAAAGTGCTATTTTTGATGTCAGATGATCGATGGTGCCCTGGAAAGTGTTTACTTTGAGTGAAAATTGGGTGTCACTAATGATAGAGGAATGACTACTTAATTAAGGTAGGATCTAATCTTTATTTATAACTTTTGAGCTGAAACATTATGTACATTTTTATATGAAAATAATTGAGTGGAAAAGACTGGAAACTAAAATGATTTATTGGGTTTTTATTTAATATTATTTTCATTATTGAGTAAGGAAGGTTATTTCGCTTTTGTGTAGGAAATTAGATATTTTTTTTTGAGTAATAATAATCATTAATTAATATTTTTCTGGTTGAAAATATTTTCTAAAGTTTTCAAAAGTAGTTTAAATGGTATTTTAGAAGCAACAATTTATTCTGAAGTTATCTTTTTAGTTGAATTATTGATGATTAAATTTCTTCTTAGTGTTTTTTATTATGAGAATTTAAAAAAAAAATATAGATATACTTACCTAATTACTTACCTGTCAAATTGGTATATGTAAATACAAGTTGAATATTTAAATATTTTTGCTTATTGGTTGAAGCTTGCTTTGAACTCGACTTTGGAGTTCTATTATTTCATAAGATATTTTGTTGATTTCCTTTTGGAATATTTATTTACTGATTAATATTTTAGGTTAGTTTTTATTGGATTGTGAGGAAAGAGCTGATTTCGTCTTAGAGTTCAGGCGTGTGTTTTTTTTTTAATTCCTTTTTGATTTTTTTTTGAATTAACGTGGGTATTTACAGGTATTTAACTTTTGGTGTTTATCTTATTTGACGTATTTATTTTGAGAATCGAATCAAAATGTCATCTTTGGGCGAAATCGATCAGATTGCTGAAAATATCAAAAAAAGTTCATTAGATGCCGTTAAAGCATTACATTTAATAGCATATGGAGTAGAAAATGATCCGCGAAGAACGCGTAAAAGTTGTAGGGAATTTTCGGGTTTCGGGTTTGAAGTAGAATCAGATGAGTATGTTCAGAAAAAAAAAGATATAAAAGAACAAATTGACGTATCCGATTTAATTTCTGTTTGTAAAGTATTGGAATTGAATCATAAGGGTAATTTAGATGCTCTGGTGGACCGTGTTTGTTCCTTTATGAATGACCTGACTTTGGCCGATGATACAAATAAAGAGGACGATGAAGAAGCAGACGAAGAGGAAGATGAAGATGAAAGAGTTGACGATGAAGAAGGGGAAGATGATGAGGAAAATTTGGCCACAGTGCAGAGACGTTTAAGAGCAAAAAAGGAGAGTGCTCAATTTTCTTTAACTTTCAGAGATATAGAAGACAGCATACGACCTTTTGAAGGAAAACCCGATTATCCAGTAAAGAAGTGGATTGCGGACTTTGAGGAGATGGCGGACATCACCGGCTGGAATGATTTGCAAAAATTAATATTTGCCAAAAAGTCCTTAAAAGGTCTAGCGAAATTGTTTGTCCAGTCTGAAAAAGGAATAAAGTCGTGGACTATACTTAAGACAAAACTGATCGAAGAGTTTGAAGTCAAAGTTAGCAGCGTTCAAGTTCATAAGCTATTGATGATGCGAAAAAAAAGAAGAGAAGAGACGGTGCAGGAGTATGTCTTGATAATGAGGGAGATAGGTAGCAGAGCAAATATAGAAGCCGAAGTGATTATACAGTGTATTATTGATGGGATTCCGGAGGATTCTTCAAATAAGGTTATTTTGTACGGTGCTAAAAGTTTTGGTGAATTTAAAGAAAAAGTGAAAATTTATGAGCAAATGAAAACGGCTAGATTGATGGGCGAATCCAGCCAAAGCTCAAGTCAAGGACAGAGGAATAGAAAATTTAAGGAGGACGAACATAAAAACTTTAATGCTAAAGCTGAAGACAGAAGGAAAATAGGAATGGGTCCATGCTATAACTGTGGCAAAAGAGGTCATACAGCTAATGGGTGCCCTGATAAGAAAAAAGGCACAAAATGTTTTGCTTGTAACGAATTTGGGCATGTATCGACAAACTGTCCGAAAAAGAAGCAAGTCAGTACTATCGAGGTTGTCCCGAGGAATGGTGTAAAACTGATTATACGAAACACACAGCTGATAGCTTTACTAGACACTGGCAGCGATATCAGTGCCATTCGATTAGATGTTTTTGAGAATAATTTTTCAGAAACTATAAAGCTTGATAAAGAAGTAGTTTTGCTTAAAGGTATTGGTTACAACCAGGTGGAGACCATGGGTTCATTTTGTGAGACTGTTATAGTTAATGGTGAAGAAGTTACATTAAAATTTCACGTAGTCCCAACTAGCACCTGTAATTTTAAAGCTATCATTGGAAGTGATATTTTGCTACAAACTAACATTACCATGATGAATAATGAGATTGTAATTAGTAAAAAAGAAAAACAAAACTTTTTAATGCAAATTACTATAGATGAAAGTGAGATCAAAGAAGTAGATGTTAGTCATATTCGAAATAAAGCAATTCAGGAAACTGCCAGAGATTTGATAGAAAATTACAGTCCAAGAAAATGCAAGACAACGGATATAAAAATGAATATAGTTTTGAAAGAAGAGCAACCCATCTATCAGAGGCCAAGAAGGCTGGCGGTGCCGGAAAAAGAAATAGTTGATAAACAAATACAGGAGTGGCTTGACGAAGGTATAATTCAACCAAGTTTTTCTGACTATGCAAGTCCTATAGTTTTGGTGGCTAAAAAGGACGGGAAAACCAGAATATGTTGTGATTATAGGAAATTGAACAAAGTTATAATTAAGGATAGATTCCCATTGCCACTTATTGAGGATGTTCTGGACGGTCTGCAGAACTCACAATATTTTAGTACTATTGATTTAAGGAATGGTTTTTTCCATGTACCTATAGAAGAGAATTGTGTTAAATATACTGCATTCATCACCCCAAGTGGTCAGTACGAGTTCTTGCGGTGTCCGTTTGGACTTTGTAATAGCCCGGCTGTTTTTCAGAGGTTCATTGGGCATATTTTCAGGGATCTAGCTAATAAGCATATTGTAATATATTACATGGACGATTTGATTATAACTAGCAAGGATGAAGAGGAAGGAATATCGCGATTGAAAATGGTCTTGGATGTGGCGAGGGACTATGGTTTGGAGATTAAGAAAGAAAAATGTCAAATTCTAAAGAAGAGGGTAGCATTCTTGGGTTTTATCATTGAAGATGGTAAAGTACAGCCATCTATGGAGAAAACTACAGCGATAAGTAAATTCCCAGAACCAACTACGCAGAAACAGTTGCAATCTTTTCTCGGATTAACGGGATTTTTCCGTAAATTCATACCTTCATACTCTTTAATTGCTAAGTCCCTCAGCGACCTGTTGAAAAAAAATGCTGTATTCCAGTTTGGAGAGAAGGAGAGACAAGCTTTCACTAAGCTAAAGGAACTACTTGTCAGTTCTCCGGTCCTAGTTTTGTACCAACAAGGGAGCGAAACTGAACTCCATACGGATGCAAGCAAGTACGGTTATGGTGCTTGCTTAATGCAGAGATCAAATGTGGACAACAAGTTTCATCCAGTATATTTTATGAGCAAAAAAACCAGCCCAGCTGAGGAAAAGTATAATAGCTATGAGCTTGAAGTGCTAGCAATAATACAGGCTGTTAAAAAGTTTCGCATATACTTACTAGGCATTAGATTTCGAATTGTAACCGACTGTGCGGCTTTCCAAAAAACCATGGACAAAAAGGACCTTACTACTAGAGTTGCTAGGTGGGCCTTATTACTGGAGGAATACTCATATGAAATCGTCCATAGAAGGGGATCGCAAATGCCACATGTCGACGCATTGAGTAGGTTTCCTATAGGAGTGATGTTAATTAACGAAGTCAGTGCAGAAAAGGAAGGCATGGTGAAAAGAATCAGGTTGGCTCAAGCTAAGGACGCTCATATTTCAAGTATCATAGAATTACTTAATGCAAAAGGCCAGTATCAAGATTACTTTATGAAAAATGACATCGTTTATAAATATTATAAAGGACGTGAGAATTTTGTACTTCCAGAAGCAATGCAAGATGAAGTTATAAAAAAAGCCCATGATCTTGGACATTTTGGAGTGGCTAAAACCAAGGAGGTTGTGGATAGAGAATTCTACATACCAAACTTACCAGAGAAAATTGAGTTGTGCATTCGAAATTGTGTAATATGCATCCTCGGAAGTAAGAAAGAGGGGAAAAAAGAGGGATATTTGCATCCAATTCCCAAGTTGAGTGGACCGCTTCATACCTACCATGTCGATCATTTGGGGCCTCTGCAAAGTACTAATAAGCGTTATAGACATATCTTAGTGGTTATAGATGACTTCTCTAAGTTCGTATGGCTTTACCCGACTAAATCAACCACAGCACAGGAAACCGTTGGTTGTTTATCAAAACAACAACAAGTGTTTGGTAATCCAGCGCGGATTATCAGTGATCGTGGAACAGCTTTTACGGCAGAAGAGTTTGAGAAGTACTGCGCAGAAGAAAATATAGAGCATATACTAATAACAACTGGTGTCCCAAGAGCTAATGGACAGGTGGAACGAGTAAACCGTGTTATTATACCGGTTCTGACGAAACTAACTTTGGAAGAACCAGACAAGTGGTACAAGTACCTGGATCGAGTCCAGAGAGTGTTGAATTGTACTGTCCAACGAAGTATAAATGCAACGCCATTTGAAGTTTTGGTAGGAGTCCAGATGAGGAATAAGGAGGATATTTCAATAAAGGAATTGCTAGAAAAAGAAGAAGTGTGCAAAACCACATAATGGAAGATAAATAACTTGATAATTAGTGGACTGTATAATTAGGTGGACTGGATGATCGACTGGATAGGGAACTAAAACACACGCGCTTTTCACTGACACTATATTTACAACAATTTACACAATATTTACACTATTTACAATTACTACTACAAGATGACAAGAAGCCAGAGCTTGCTTAGATGCCCAACAGGGCAGAGCTAGATTATAAAATT